AGTTATCCTCTGACATGAACTGATTCTGAAAAAACACACGAGGAAGACGCCTCTGGGTTTTAATACGCCGAGGTTTATGATGTAATGATCTGAAAAAAAAGACCAGGATACTTCCCCTGCCTTTATGTGAATATTGTCGCCTCTTCTCGGCTATGGTATTGGCCAATCATATGCCCAATAAAACAGAAAGCTGGGATTTGGAGGTGGGGTAGACATGAATGTGGTTTGGACTATGTTCTTCACCGTTTTTGAAGACAGAATACTTCGTAAGGGGTGAAATCGCCAGCTTTTAGCTTATTGGGAAAGGATTGTCGACTGTAGTAGTGGTTATTTTACCAAGTAAAATATGATGGGGGGCTTTTCGTGTAACTGTTTGATTTCCTCTCCCATTGGCTTTTTTTTTATATTTTCCACTAATTGAGGGCTGATGTTTTTCTTTGCGGTATAAAAGCGTAATTCGAAGACTCGCCTTATTCATAACTGATGCGGTACTTTGAAACCGCTACACCTCAACTCTAAATAATCTGCTTCGATTATGGACAATCCAGAAAAGGTCGCTGATTCCGTATCGATTAGTCCCAGTGTTCTCACTCCGATCTTATTTCTCTCTTGTTGTTACTTCAGATGATGCGAAAGTGGGATGGTCACCCTCTCCCTGCACTGCAGAGGATGTTCCTTTTCCCCGCGACGCAGAAGCGGCGGTAGGGTTTGTTGACCTATTCTTTCTTATGTCTCCTACAGCTACATCACCTGTCTAAATGTCTCTTTGTCTACCTTCCAGCTACGACGCAGTAAACATAGACGAGGAGCACCCCACCTCCTCCTTCCCTTCCTTTCGGTATTAGCATCAGTATCGACGTGATGAAAGTGGAAAGCAGAGATTTCGCCGAGAGCAGCGAAGGCGCTCTGGCAGGTATTTATCCAATTTTGGCGTTGTGTTTCACATCGCGTAGATCTATTCTACATCTATATTGGGTCTAGATTTCCGTTATCTTATCTTTTTTGCAACTGATTTGCGCTTTTTTTCAAGTATTTTACTAAATAATCGAAGTATGCTACTAAGTACCATTTCCACAATGGTGAATTATGCTTCATCTTGTTTATAATTGTTCCAGTTCTCAATTGGATGAAATGGAACTGCGGGAAATTGTTGAAATTAGTAAAACCCATGGTATGGCCTCACGTAATAAAACTGTTTCCCAATATGTTCGATGCTTTAAGGTGTGTGCGTAAGTTTACTGCGGAGTGAATCAAAGTTTTGCAAGTACCTCTGCAGTCAGTGCAGAATGTGATAGCGCCGAACGGAAATTGTTGTTGAAACAAAAGAAATATCATCTTATTTTTTTCTTTTCTCTACTTTTCTCAATCCCCGTGGAATGTGTTCCAGCGACGCGAAATAAATAATGCCCGTGACTGCACAACCAGATTTTGTTGACGGAAGCTTTTAATCGAGGCGAGGGTAGTCATCATTGTCACCGCGACGATCGTGGATGTCGAGAGGATCGAGAGAAGGCGGACGAGGTTGGAAGTTCATTGAGGACGCTATCATTGAAGACGAAAGGAGCGGCTTCCAAATCGGCTGCCCCGCCTCCGGCACCGACACCACCACCACCACCCCCTAGGTTTCATTTATACGTAACTGCGCGAAACCGCCAAGGAGGTGGAGACCGCCTGACAATGCATTCTGGGGCGCGAAGCTGCTGGTCTCACTCGACCGACTGTCGCGCCCTTTAACAGTGAGGCCTAATCGAGTGCCCTCTCGTTCCTTTAGCTTGTATGCGAACGCGTTTGTGTGATGCGCATGTGTACTTGCATATTAGAATTCCTCTACCCGAGTCTTCGTTTCTTAGTAGCCAGTGGGAAAAACTGAGGTGAAATGGAACTCTTGGCTGAGTCATGGGAAGCCTGACAGCCTCTGGTCTTCTTCCCTCCATTAGTTGAGTGGCATTCTGTGCAAAGTGGATG